GTTTGGTAAGAAGATAAGGAACCTGTTCTGGGACAGTGACATCGATATGCCTAGAAAGACAGCTTGGTGGAGGTTTCTGTGCCAGAGTCATAGATTTGGGAAGTTCTTACTTTGCTTGCCTGAGTACACAGAAGAGGGACAGTAGTATTAGTCCCTTACACACACGAGAACGTTAAGGCTCAGAGAAGTAGAGAGACTTGCTCGAGGTCCCTGGGACCCAGACTGAAACCTGGATCTTCTTCGAAATCCTATTTTCTCACCACCAGTGAGACTGTAGTGTAACTCTAGGTAGGAAGGGGCAAGAAGCTGTCCCTCTATTCCTAAATGCCAGACTTCTCAAAAACCACGTCCAAGCTTCCTGGCTCAGCCTGTTGACTACTATTTGCTGACCATGCTTCTGCAACTCTTCTCTGTAGGAAGCGGCTCTTGCCGCCAAGTTCACTGAAGTTAACGCCATCAACAGACAGAGACTGCAGAATCTGGAGTTTGCTCTGAACCTCCTGCGACAGGTAATCGATCTTAGTAAGAAACTCTACTTAAAACTGTCCAAACAGGTGAGAAACAAAAGACCCACTGTGTCTCAGAGAGATAGCCTGTGAGCAGAGGGGAGTGTCCCTTGCTAACATTTCTGGGCCAGTACAAAGACTGGCCCGAGACAATACTTCTACTGACACGAGAACTTGGATATTCAATTCAATACACTTTTGCTGAGTACCTAGTAAAAGTTATTTTTTAAAGCCCACAATGTTTATGACAGCATTGTCTGTAATACCAAGAAACTGGAAGCAACTCAATATTCATCAGCAATGGTTAAATTGTGGTCTGTCCATACAGTGGAGATCTATGTTGCTGTTGAATAGTGAGGTAGCACTCTCTGCACCAAGCTGGAATTATCTCTCTCTAAACTGCAATGAGCAGCAGGGTGCAGAACAGGAGACTACCATTTGTACAGAAAAAATAAACACATGGTGCACACCAAAAATAGAGATGCTGTGTGAGCACAGAAAATGTCTCCAAGGATGACAGACATCCTCTAGGATCAGGACCAGAGGTGGGAGACTGCAGTTTCATTTTAAACTCTTCTGCAGTTTTAAAATATCTTACCTGATTTAATTTTTAAAACCTACACTAGTTAGACTGTTTTAAAAGCAGCCCCAGGACTCTAGAACGCGGACTGGCACCAAGGGCACCTCTTGGGGTTCCCAGGTGACCTAGATCTACTCTGACTGGGGGACAAGCCTTGCACATGTTGCGAGTCTGGCTTTGACCGTGCGCTGTCTTCTCCGTCACAGCAGCCGGAAGCAGAAGTGGCCCACGAGACCCTGCAAGGGAGCAAGCCAGGCCGTAGAGGGGAGGAGGCATGGAAGATCAGGAAGGAGCTGGAAGAGGAGACTGAGCGGAGGCAGCAGCTGGAGAACGAGGTCCGGAGTGCCCAGGAGGAAATCCGAACCCTGCGCAATCAGAGGCCACAGGAGTCGGTGGTGAGGAAGGAGGTGCTGAAGAAGGTGCCGGACCCCGCGTTGGAGGAGAGCTTCCAACAGCTGCAGCGGACCCTGGCGGAGGAGCAGCATAAGAACCAGCTGCTGCAGGAGGAGCTGGAGGCGCTGCAGCTGCGGCTGCGCGCCCTGGAGCAGGAGACCAGGGACGGAGGGCAGGAGTATGTGGTCAAGGAGGTCCTGCGCATTGAGCCCGACAGAGCCCAGGCGGATGAGGTCCAGCACCTGCGGGAGGAGCTAGAGGCGCTTCGGCGGCAGAAGAGCGCCCGAGAGGCAGAGGTGCTCCTCCTGCAGCAGCGTGTGGCCACCCTGGCAGAGGAAAAGAGTCGGGCACAGGAGAAGGTCACTGAGAGGGAGGTGGTGAAACTGCAGAACGACCCCCAGCTGGAGGCAGAGTACCGGCAGTTGCAGGAGGACCACCAGCGCGAGAGCAAGCTCCGGGAGAAGCAGGAAGAGGAGCTAAGCTTCCTCCAGGACAAGCTCAAGAGGCTGGAGAAGGAGAGGGCCATGGCCGAGGGCAAGGTCACTGTCAAGGAGGTGCTCAAGGTGGAGAAGGACGTGGCTGCTGAGAGGGAGGTCAGCGATCTCACCCGCCAGTACGAGGACGAGGCCGCCAAGGCTCGTGCCAGCCAGAGGGAGAAGACCGAGCTGCTCCGGAAGATATGGGCCTTGGAGGAGGAAAACGCCAAAGTGGTGGTGCAGGAGAAGGTCAGGGAGATCGTGCGGCCGGACCCTAAGGCAGAGAGCGAAGTGGCCAACCTGCGCCTAGAGCTTGTGGAGCAGGAGCGGAAGTACCGGGGCGCTGAGGAACAGCTCAAGAGCTACCAGAGTGAGCTGGAGGACCTTAAGAGGCGGGGTCCTCAGGTGGAGGTCAAAGAAGTGACCAAGGAAGTCATTAAGTACAGGACAGATCCCGAGATGGAGAAAGAGCTGCAGCGGCTCAGGGAGGAGATCGTTGACAAGACCAGACTGATCGAAAGATGTGACCTAGAGATCTACCAGCTGAAGCAGGAAATCCAGTCCCTGAAAGACACCAAACCCCAGGTCCAGACCAAAGAGGTGATCCAGGAGATCCTCCAATTCCAGGAGGACCCCCAGACCAAGGAGGAAGTGGAGTCTCTGAGGGCAAAGCTCACAGAAGAGCAGAAGAAGCAGGTGGACCTGGAAAGGGAGAGGGCTTCCCAGGAAGAGAGGATCGCGCGGAAGGAGGAGGAGCTCTCACATGTGAAGGAAAGGGTGGTGCAGCAGGAGCTGGTCAGGTACGAGGAGGAGCCGGGCCTGCGGGCAGAGGTGACCTCCTTCGGGGAGAGCATCGACATTGAGCTGCGGCAGATTGATAAGCTGCGCGCCGAGCTGCGGCGGCTACAGCGCCGGCGGGCCGAGCTGGAGCGGCAGTTGGAGGACCTGGAGCGCGAGCGGCAGGGGCGCAGGGAGGCCGAGCGCGAGGTGCAGCGGCTACAGCAGAGGCTGGCTGAGCTGGAGCAGGAGGAGACCGAGGCCCGCGAGAAGGTGACCCGCAAGCAGAAGGTGGTCCTGCAGCAGGACCCTCAGCAGGCCAGGGAGCACGCCCTGCTCAGACTCCAGCTGGAGGAAGAGCAGCACCGGCGACAGCTCCTGGAGGGTGAACTTGAGACCCTGAGGCGGAAGCTGGCGGCCCTGGAGAAGGCAGAGGTCAAGGAGAAGGTGGTCTTCTCTGAGAGCGTCCAGGTAGAGAAAGGCGACACCGAGCAGGAGATCCAGAAGCTCAAGCACAGCCTGGAGGAGGAGAGCCGGAGCAAGAGGGAGCTGGATGCCGAGGTGAACCGGCTGGAAGCCAAGTTGTCAGAGCTGGAATTCCATAACTCCAAATCATCCAAGGAACTGGACTTCCTAAGAGAGGAAAACCACAAACTACAGCTGGAGCGGCAAAACCTGCAGCTTGAGACCCGAAGGCTCCAATCAGAAATTGAAATAGCAGCAACAGAAACACGAGACTTGCGGAACATGGCCACGGCGGACTCTGGGACCAACCTTGACTCCAGACTGTGGTCTCTGGAGAGGGAACTGGATGACCTCAAGAAGCTCTCCAAGGACAAAGATCTTGAGATCGACGAGCTGCAGAAGCGCCTGGGCTCCGTGGCGGTCAAGAGGGAACAGAGAGAGAACCACCTGCGGCGCTCCATCGTGGTCATTGACCCAGACACGGGCCGCGAACTGTCCCCGGAGGAAGCCCACCGTGCCGGGCTCATCGACTGGAACATGTTTGTAAAACTCAGAAGCCAGGAATGTGACTGGGAGGAGATATCAGTGAAGGGTCCCAACGGGGAGTCCTCGGTGATACATGACAGGAAGTCTGGCAAGAAGTTCTCCATCGAAGAGGCCCTGCAGAGTGGCAGGCTGACCCCCGCTCAGTATGACCGCTACGTCAACAAAGATATGTCCATTCAGGAGCTGGCGGTCTTAGTGTCTGGACAGAAGTAGGCACAGCCCTTCTATCTCTTCTTAGAGGCAGACACTAGCCCTCTCTACACAGTGACCTCCTGGGTGTCCTCTTCTCCCTGGCGCAGGCCGAGGACGTTACCCACACCCTTGCGGTCAGGCTGTTCAGAGCACAGCCCATGTATAAGATGAGCACTGGCTAAAGACACAACTCTCCTCCCACCATCACTTAGCCTGGGTGAATAACCCGCTTCGTCCTCCAATCATTTGACAGCCACTATGCCCTTTTGTTCTCCCTTTTCCTGTATACTACCATCAACAACAGCCTTGTGCGAAGATTAGAAACAATCTGAAAGCTACTTGAGCACAAGACGACCACAGCAGACAAGCCCACTCAAGGCAGCGTGGGCCTGAGCACACCAGACGGCACATTCTGCCCCAGAAAGGCCTCCTCTCCACCACCTTTTTGTTCATCAAAGGCCGGGCCCATTGGGGCTGCTGGCCTGCGTCACACCCCTTCAGGTTTTTGGCTGGGAACCAACTTTCCATCAGAGAGGCCTCCTCAGTAGTTACCCTGCTCATGAGGCAGATCTGGGATCTATGCCAGAAAGGCACGATAGAAACCAGAAGTGTCTGGCTCTCGGTGCTAGAGTGGATGTTAATTGTTAGCCATATCGTCCCAGGCAAATACACCAATAGAGAATGTTTCATGGTTCTGAAATCAAAATGCTCTAATGGTGGCCTGTGTTGCTTTTAGCCTAAGCTTCAGTGCCTTATAAGTCTTGTTCATTATCTCTTTGGTATGTAGGCATATAAAACAGTTGATTATTCACCAAAAGAATTTCTGGTTCTCGTATCTCATGTATTATGTAAGAAAATGGGAATGGGGAACTTATTTATAGTGTGAAAATAAAACCTGGTGGCTTGATTCTATTTCCCCGGTGAGCACGTCTTCCTCTTCTGCACGTGAGGCTTCCTTCCCCACCTCCACTCGCTTTCAGTCAGAATGGGGATTCCACCTATATCAGCCCCTAAGGGGAGAAGAATTACGTGCTAAAGTAGCAGGAAAAAAAGTGACAAAAAATGTTTTGGAAACCTTGAAACAATTTATTGAGTTGCTTTATACAAGATTAACAATCTCCACACCACCCCCTAAACACCAACATAGTTGCTGCACAAAAGCCACAGCCCCTCTCACACCTAAGAAACGGCCATGTCCGGTAAGTGCTCAGAGACTTTCACCGCGCCAAGGAAACCCCTGCAGCCCTAGACCCTGAGCCCGCTCTGCCCCACACCCTGCTGCAGCCGGGCCTGTAGATCTGCCTTGCCATGGCTGTTTAAGTCATTCACTCTTTCATTACCACAAATAAAGCATAAACAAGAAAAAGAAATCTCAAACTCCCCATCAAAGAAACATTTCCCTGAGGCAAGAGGCATCACTAGATTCCTAAAAATGAGGGTACTCTGCTCCAGCTGTACACTCCATGGCACATGGGGAGGAAGGAGCACCCAAGGGAGGGAGGGGGCTGGGACTGGCACCCGGGTGTTCACGGGCAGAGAAGCCTAGAGAGTTCCCACTGCTCAGCCTTCACTGGCGGCCTCTGCTCGGCTTTGAGCTCAGCAATACAAATCTCTTCTTTGGCTCTTTTGCTACTACCTAAGACTATTCTGTAAACAAACTGGAAATCCAAGTTGCAAAAAATATATATAATAAAGGGATAAGGAATCCACCTAACCCAATGTGAAACAGATTGGTTCTTACATAAAAAAGGAGTCAGAGAAGCCGGGCCGAATAGCTGGCAGAGGTCTCGCTCCCCAGGAAGCCAGGAAGGCTGATAACCTCTACATTAGTTACGAGTTACTGAGAATTGTGCCATGGGAGTGAGGACCCACAAGAGCTGGCTGGTTTTCACACACATACACATGCTATGGATGCTGTTTACTCTCAACATGTCTGAAAATCACTTGGCTGGAACAGTCAGCATAGACTTCACAGGACAGACAAGTGCCCTCAAAACCCTTGTGAAACAGCCACTAGTTGAGTGTGACCAGCTTGGTGACTCGAGAGCTCTGCAGTAACTGTCCCAGTCTCTGACCTACTCTCCAAGCTCTTCTGCACATCACCCTTAAGTCAACGTGTAATCCCACTGCCTGGAGAACCCCAGGGCTCAAGGCCTATTTCTACACAGCAGACACTTCACAGAGGCCTGTTCCTGCAGCTCTGCCTAAGAATGATTTCTAAGAATAAGACAAACTGGAATGTCTACCTGTGACTTGGATCCCTCATATCCTCGGCCCTCTGAGTGATGAGGGCTCTGGGGCTTCTGCAGGCCACCTGTATGAACTCTGGAAAAACAAAACAGGAGCCCTGGCTAAACCGGGACCTGCAATTTTGGGGCCCAGACGAACTTCAAGTCAGGACAGCACAGATTATGATGTGCAACCATAAAAAACTCAAAACTGGCTATGTCTTAAACACAGACATTATCTTTTAAAAAGGTCTTCATCTCAGATCCACTCAGCGGGCTGAATGGACGTGTGTTGTCGAATTCTGCTCCACCATAAAAGGCACTGGAATTATGTCTTCCTATATATGATGTGTGAAGAACAGTCCCATTCTATCCAATGCATTTAATGGTAATGATGAAAACTGAGATCAAAATAGGTATCTTTAAAAATCCTATCACAATTTTTTAATCTACAAAGGTCTTTTCTCTAAAAGAGCTTCATTGTCATGTTCAGAGGAGAAACTGGCCCCCAGTACATTAGGTGTTCTTAGTATTTTGCAATGAGACAAGGTAGGTCTCCCAGCTGTAGCTTTGACCTGGGTTTTGTCCTCTTGAGCACACAGCCTGGGGATGGGACGGCACCAAGACCATTCAGGAATCTTACTGTGGCCAGGAGCCCCTGACCAGTGGGGCACTCTGAGGTACTCTGATCAAATGCCAGGGGGTCAGGCAGATCTAAAACGTTAGTGTGCCACTGGAGCTCGTCAACACCGTACTTTCCAGCACGGCCCAGCATGCGCCCAGCCCAGAGCTGCCCCTCTGATAACTGTCCAGTGACAGAGCCGCGAGGCCCAGAGCACCAGGTCAGCAAGCGCCTGTGAACAGCACGGGGCCGGCTCCCTTACGTGGAGGCACGTCAGAAGTGCCCAGAAGCTCCACTGAGAACTCACGCTTTCTCCAGAGGAAAACCAGAAAGAGCGCAGTGAATGTCCATTATCTTAGACCTACACGTCCAACTTCCACCCAGACCCGAGTCTGTTGAGCCTTTCCACTGAAGGGGTCACAATTTCCGTGGTACGCCAGGCCCTTTCCCATGAAGCTGAGAAGCATCTGGAAAAGAATAAGAGAAATCAGAACAAGTCTATCAGGGTCTCTGATTCTCTTAAGGCAGTAGTAACCAAACTTCAAGGGGATCACTTAAATCGCAAAAGTCCCCAAACGCTTAGTGTTCGAAGGCTCAGACAAGCCACAAAACACTAAGAGTGGTTATTTGTGTGCACTGCTACTTGCAGCAGCCTACAGCATGCAAGGGCATTAGCACTACAGAGGCAGGAGGCCACTCAGTACATGTTCACAGAATAGCGACTCTGCTATGCAACTCGGGCCACTTCAGGTCTCAGGCTACAACTGCCATCTCATGGCAAGGCTCGATAATCACACAGAGCTCAAGGCAGCAATGGTCATTCTCTTACCATCAAAAGACCCTCAGGTCCTATAAAGACAAGTTCAAAGGCACTAGCATTCTGAGTCCACATAGGAAAGTAAGGAAAGCAATGCAGACACAAGACACACAGCTGAAGTGCGCAGACAGCTGCTCACTTATACCCTCATGTCGTCTCACACCTCAAGTACATCTAAGGAAGAAGAGAAAAGCTCACTTGGATAACCTGTTTTGGCATAGTTGCTTTTCTCATTTTTTCTTAAATTTTTTACTTTTTTATATTTTTAGAGACAGGGTTTACAATGCCGCCCAGGCTGGAGCACAGTGGCTATTCATAGGCGCCATCGCAGCTCACTGCATCCTCAAACTCCTGGGCTCAAGCAATCTTCCCGAGTAGCTGGGACTACAGGCGCAAATCACTGCACCCAGACTCTCTTAGCCCTTTTCGGCCTTCTTTGACACATAGTAACTGTACATTTTATGGAGTATATAGTGACGTTTCACTACATATAATAAATAGTGATCAGATCAAGGGAATTAAGCTATTCATCATCTCAAACATTTACCATTTCTTTGAGTTAGGAAAATTCACTATCCTCTTACTAGCTATATGAGACTATGTATTATGGTTAACTACAGTCACCCTACAGTGTTACAGAACACTAGGACTCCTCCTATTCTGATAGCCATGTTAGTTTCCAGAGGAAAAACAAAAAAGATACTAGAAAGTAATCTTTCTGAAAACAACACAGACCAACTGCCTGCTTCCAATGGCTCTTCAATTATTTTGTTTTTCTGAAATAGCAATGTTCCTAAAAGCAGGTAGAGGCAGGGCAATATGACATTCAAAGACCACAAGCTCCCACCCAGGTGGCTCTGGAGCCTCCCGCATTATAATGCTGACTCTAGGAGCAGCCACCAGGGTGGAGAGCAAGTCCACTGCCCGCTACTGTTTCTCCAGAGGAAAAAAGGAGCAACTATTGTCATAGGTTTAGTCCCTCGAAGAAACAAAATTTCCATCTTAGAGATTCACAAATCCACTCTTGCCCCCAGATGGCCTCTGCTATACACTATAAGGGGCACAGGCACCAGGGACGCACAGCAAATCAAAAGACAGATGCTGACTGGCAGACATCGGGCTGACGACTTCCACTCCATGCAGTAGGTCACAGCATGTGCTGCCCAGGGGCCCCTGTCTTACCCACCCACCCAGCACCAGCCGCTAGGGTCACCTAGGCTGGGCTTCCTTAAGAACGGTTCTCCTCAGTACAGCCCGTGGTCATGTCTGGAGCAAGTCTACAGTAAGAACAACACTAGGTCAAAACCAAGGTACCACAAGGCATCTTGCCCCAGGATTCCACAAGGTGAACCTAAGAATCAGGGATGCAGCAGGACAGGGTGAAGCAAATCCACTCAATACAAGGGTGCCAGCCCAGGTACCTGCGCCCTCTTCTCAGGTGCTACCAAATGAGCTACAACCCTAGGGTGCTGTGCTACAGGGGAACACCGGCCTCGGGCCCGGTGTGCTCACAATCTCCCTTTTGATGTCATTTCTACCCCTGGCCAGACTGAAAGCTGATCCTTTCTTGGACCCACGCTGCCAGCAGAGGTGAGCTATCCTTCCTGGAGGTCTGTACTGTGGCCTCCCTGCTATTTGGGGTTTCTCTTTTATGGAAACAAAGTTTAGAGTGCCCTCTGCCAACTGACAACACCTGGAAGATGCCGCAGCTTGCACTCAAAGGCCTTGCTGTACCCAAGTAGCATCTGGAAGAGAGAAACCATTACCTTCCTTTTCTTAATTAAAGAGGAAGAGTTAAGAGTTGGGAGCTCTTCTGTCTCACACACGGGCTCCCGTGATTTCCTCTACAATGGTACAGGCTAAAGCTGACCCTGCGGCAGTTCCAAGCAAGACCAGAAGAAACCTCCAAGGGGTAGAAGCCCAAGTCATTCTAAGTGCCCACAAAGCTGGAGCCTCGAAAGACAAGCCAAGACGACAACACAGTGACGAGGTGAAGACACTGGACTCCTGGGCAGCACACAAAGCATCTAAGGGTGGAGGGGAAGGCGCACGTGCGTGTGGCACACTGACGTCTGGCGATTACCTGGCAGGCTCTGCGGGATATGGGTGGACATGGCAGCGTGTGGGAGAGGCGCTGCGTGGGGCGGGCTGGAGTGCAAGCCAGCCAGAAGACCTGGGAGAAAATGGGAGGGGAGAAAAGAACAAAACACACACATTGAAGACAGGAACAGAAAAGCAGCTCTGGCAACCAAACAACCCTGCCGGACCACTCTGGGTACCAAACCCAAGGGGAAGGGGCTCAGCACCATTCCCAGAGATGTTCCCCACAGTCACACACCAGACACAAACACAGGAGCCACAGTACACAACAGGAGGACCCTCGGCCACAGCCCAGAGATTCCCAAAGCGAGGTGAGGCAGGAGAGAAGCACTCACTGTGGCTGAGGCCAGGGTGGAAAGGCCCGGAGGCAGGGCCTGTGACGATGGCATCCTTGGAGACCCCTGCTTTGGCAGAGGCATCAGCGCTGAAGGAAAGCACATGGAGAGGAATCGGGACAGGGGCTATAATTCCCAGTGAGTTCGAGTTCATGGCCCCTGGCAGCTTTGGGCTGCTGGACTTGTAGGGTGGAGACAGCAGGTTTAAGGGAGTGGAGCTGGTCAGCAGCACAGCCCCACTCGTTCCTTTCTAGGAAGGAAACACAGCAAAGTGGTAAGAACTCTAGACCTTGCACAGCTAACTTGCAAACCAATCAGGTAACAAGGGATGAGGGCACACACAGGCCAAATGCCCCTGTGAAAGCACCCTCCTACCCTGCAGCCCCAAAGACAGGATCTTCTCTGAACTGACATGGAATGGTTTCCAGGGTACATAGTTAATTTTAAAAAGCAGGTTCAGCTCTAAGAAACAACGGTGATATAGCACATCTTATATTTTCCTGGTTAGAGCTGGAACCCATATTACTAAGTGAAGTAACCCAAGAATGGAAAAACAAGCACCAGATATATTCACGAGCAAACTGGTATTAACTGAGCAGCACCTAAGTGGACACATAGGTACTACAGTAATAGGGTATTGGGCAGGTGGGAGAGGGTTGGGTATATACATACATAATGAGTGAGATGTGCACCATCTGGGGGACGGTCATGCTGGAAACTCAGACTTGTGGGGGGAGGGGGAGGGCATTTATTGAAACCTTAAAATCTGTATCCCCAGGGTATGAAATAGCAGGGTATGAAATATGCCTTCTTTGTAAAGGAAGAATATCACAATATAGGTATCTATAAATGTATGTATATACACACATATATGTGTGTATGTATTTATATACATAAAACATACACACATATGTATTTGTAATCTTTTGTTTTAAAAAGAAACAGGAAAAATAAACTGGAAACCAAGGAGCACAGTTACCTTACAGGGGTGGCAGGTGCAGGAAGAGGGAAGCAGGACCTCTCTGAACAGACTCCGCTACAGTTTTATTTTTGCAACCACATAGTTGTTTTACATATTAAAATAAGAGAAAAAAGTGCTCTCTCCCATTTCCCCAACCTACATCCGAACTTCTCACAATTACCCATAAGCAGGACTCAGTAATTGTTGGACTTTGTCCTTCAAAGGGAATGATTCTTAGAAGGCACTGCTATTCCTGTGGCATGAACACCTCCACATAACTGTGACCTGACAGGCGATGGCGTTTCTACCCCGTTAGGAGAGATGGATGGGGGAGAGGATAGGCTGTTCCATGCCACGCAGCCTGGCCTCCCTGCGGGCACGGCTCTAACCATCCTTCCGCTCCCTCCACCTTCCTAAGGAGAAGGTTCCGGCTATCTTGGGCTTCTTGCCACCAGAAAAGGGAACACCTGAGGGCAGGAAGCTCAGCCCTTCTTCCAACATCTGAGCTCACTGTTCCTATCCTTCCATTTCAGATCTCATTCTCTGCCCAGGGCAAGGCGAGTGGCCTTATCCCCAAGGCCCCTGCGGGTGGGACAGGGCAGGCTGCTCTGCCGGGATACTCACTGGCAAGGAGGTAGACGATGTCACACTACTAACCGCAGGGGGCTTTAGGGACGAGGTCAGTAACTTTGCTACTCCCTGGGTCCCACCACCGGAATCTCCATTTGGACCACCTGGAGGGGCCACCAGGGTCAGCTTCTGGGAAACAGGCGGTTTTTTCACTGCTGAGCTTGGGACAGGTCTGCTGGCGGACTGTCCTGTGGAGGGAGGCTGTATGCCAGGGAGCAGGTTCCCAGAAGCAGAACTCTGGACTGGTGTTCCTCCAGAGGAAGAGCTGCCAGAAGAAACCGCGTGTTTGGAGATAGAGCCAGCAAAGGGATTATTCTTATAAGACGACCCTGTAGAGCTGGCTGAATGCTGTTTTGCTGGATGGCTCAGGGCGGCAGAGGACGAGGCTGGGGTCTTATGAGAGCTGCTAGAGGCTGGTAAGCCTCCTGAGGCGGCTGGCGTGGAGGGATGGAAGCCCTGGCCTTTGGCTGCTGTCTTCACTATCTGCAGGAAGGAACGATGGCACTGTGGGGAGGAAGCCTTTGGGCTCTGGAGCTTATTGACAAAAGGAGCTGGGGGCGTGAAGTTTTTCTGCTGCTGAGCGCCTGCATGAAAGACTTTGACTTGGGGGCCAGGCACGGGAGCTGCCACCTGGGGTCCGTGAGACGTCCGTGGCAAACCATGGTGCTTTGCTTTGGACTGGTGCACTTCTGGCAAGCCTTTGTTGAGGGGAGCCTGGCAAGGCAGCTCTTTGTAGCCAGAATTCTCTGGTTTTTTCTCCTGAGAGGACTGCCCCAGTGCCAGAGCCTGTTCAGCCAGAAAATTGAGGGGTGACTGCAGAGAGCTAGCTGGTGGGGGAGCAGAAGGGCTGGGCTTGGCAAAGTTCCTTTTCTCTTCTGCACATAACACACCTGCAACTTTTTCTGCAGGTGCTTTTGAGGGGGCAGGCAGTGTGAATTCAGAGCTCCCAGTTGCTCTGCTGTTCAATGCAGCCAGTTCCTTGGACACGGCTTCCACAGAAGAGGCGGGATTGCAGATCAAGTCTTCATCCAACGAGTCCTCCAGGCTGACAGGAGCAGGGTTAGCAAGGTTGTCTGACACCTGGGATGGGAGCTCCCTGCTCGAGACCCCAATGTTCAGGCCTCCTCCCTGGTGTTCTGAGGGCAATGCAATGGGGCCGCTAATCTGTCCTGACTGGACAGAAACCTTTTTATCAGGCTTAGTAGATGATTCCTAAAGGAAAACAGAAATGCTGAAGTTTAAGAAGCCAGTGTTGGCCTGTTGTGGGGACATAAACAAGAGAACAACTTGAGGTGCAAACAACTGGGCCTTCCTGTGTAATTACAAAATAAGGGGTAGCAAAGAGCAAGAGCCATGCCTGCCCTGACTGGAAATGCTGCAACTTACACTCCCTCTGGTGAGTGGCCGGCTGAGTTTATACCTCAGCAAATTTTGTTGCTCAGTACAAATACACTCCCAGGGGAACTTTTCTCTCTGTTTCTGAAAAAGCATAAGACTCAATAAAGAGACACACTGCCTCTTGCCATTCACACTATCTCGGAGTACTCTTAGCTGCAAATTAGACTGACATAGGGCATGAGAGTTGCCTTAAAATACCTATTTTGTCGTCCTTGATTTTTCCCACCACCTGTCTCCTCCAAGACAGTCCTTTTCCCGGAAGCAGAGAAGAGGTCTAAACCTGGCACTCCTGCATACCTGGTGCTTAATGCAGTGGGTCTGAGACATTGTAGGAGCTCAACAGATACACAGGAATAAATGATTTGCACATCTCATTCTCACTGTCTCTTTAGGGTATGGTTAAGGGCACCACACCAAGCCTCAAGAACTAGTAAAATGGCTAGGCATGGTGGCTCACGCCTGTAATTCTAGCACTTTGGGAGGCCGAGGAGGGAGGATCACTTAAGCCCAGGAGTCAGAGACCAGCCTAGGCAACATAGCAAGACCCTGTTCTCTACAAAAAATTAAAAAAATTAGCCAGGCATGGTGGCACATGTCTGTAGTCCCAGCTACTCAGGAGTTGGGCCAGGAGGATTGCTTGAGCCTGGGAGTTGGAGGTTGCAGTGAGCTATGATCACGCTACTGCATTCCAGTAGGCATCAGAGCAAGACACTGTCTTAAAACAACAACAACAACAACAACAACAAAAAAGAACCGGTAAAAATTTTAGTAAAAGCAATTTTCACTACATTGAGAGGTTCCTGCAACATCTAAAATAGTTTTCCCAGTTTCTATTCTCCCACCACCATACTGTACCGCCCTCTCTGTTTCTGCCAGCTAACTAACAAAGCCACTTTTCCTTGCTGTTGCTCTAAGGCTAAACTGGAATGGCAGAGTGTGTTTCTTCCATGGAAAGACTACTGTCGTAGTGCCGTACCTCTGCACCTACAGGGGCTCTTCCCTCCTCAGCTGACTGCCAAGAAGACCCCACTCAATCCCACAACAACCCCGGGATGTGGGCCAGGTGGGTATTGTTTAGTATAACTGAAGCTAGAGGGGGTTAAGAGGCCCTGCTCTGGTCTCTGCCCTGGTATAATTTCAATAGTGCTATCCTGAATAGCTGTCTCCAGACCAGCTAATTTCATTGAGCTGCCATGGTCACTCAAGAGGGTTTTTTTGGAGTGTGGCTGCAAGGAGATGAGGACAGCTGACACATGACCTGAGCAGGCCAACTCACCTTCACCTTGATTTTAGAAGGGGCCATTACTTTCTTCTTGGCCCTGTTCAAAGGAATGAGCACAAAAGAGGTTTAGAGGGTATCCACAGAAGAAGATAAAAATAACAGTAGCCCTGAGAAGTGAAAACACCGCAACACTCACAGGATGGATGTCAGGTGCCCGTGAACTCGTTTGCTCTCCTTTAACAGAATCCTGAAAGACACAGAACACTGGCCTTTGTACATGCCCCTTAAAGCTGGCACTCTGCTTCCAGAGCTGTGTCAACATCCCATGTACTCAGTGTCTATTACTCCTTGAATGTCAGTGGACTGGTGAGCTGAATTCCTGGTGAGAAGACTCTAAAGTGGCCACACCAGCCACCTGAAAGCCAAGAGTCTGGGCTTTACCCAGAAAGAAAAACTATGGCTCTGCCCCGACTTCTCATGGCGATGTTTCCCTTTCCCTAAGGCCACAGCACTTTCCCTACTGCCTACTCCATCCCTTCCAAGAATAAAATATGCAGTGACCCACAGTGTGTCTCTTTTCAGAGAAACCCAACAAAAAATTTCTTCATCTGAACACAGGGTAGCAATTCCAAAAGCTCCAAGATTTGTAACCACAGATGAATCAGGTCCAGTCAAGAGCACTAGCTCCAGCTAACTTCCTGTTTTGCATACCACAGACACGCTCCACTCACAGGACGCAGCATCATACAAAGGAGCCTCTGAGGCTGGGCACTTAGCACAGAGTCAGTCCTGCTACCTGCAAATTAGACTTCTTCATGGTCACTAAGAAGTATCCAAGATGCATCCATTTCTCACCTTCTAGTAAAGCCATTATGTTTAAATAGGAAAGTACATATTTATATGAGAGCATGCAGCCAATCCTGAACTGAGTGGGACAAAGAATGACAAAGACAAAACCCCACAGGTACCTTCCCTTCTTCTAGGGAAGATGAAGAAGCCCCTTTCCTTGCTACTAGTATGTCCCCCCAATTACTCTGGTGAGATAAGAGTTGAGTCAACGAGGTAGTGGCCAGGCACAAAAGCAGCGCTCAATTATTCCTCGACCGCACAAATGCCCCATCTTGCCACCCCAGCCCTCACCTGGTCTGCATCCAGCCCTTGGGCCAGAGAGGCTTGACCTCGGCGTCCAAGAAGGCCTTCAAGCAGTCCTCCCAGGACTGGGCCTTGTTGTTCCTCTCCAGGTCATGGCTCTCCAGCTTGGTCTTCACCACCTGGCACAGCAGGTCCCTGAGGAGGAGGCAGAAATCATAATCTTCAAACCGTCCCAAATGCTTCTGCAAGGTTTCAACCATGTGCTTCCAGCAGCCCTGATGAAAGGAAACAATCCTAACTTTCAACAGCAAGACAGGGACATGCTCAGACACTGGCCCCACAAACCCTCCCATGGGGACAGTCACAGTATGGGCACACCTGATTTCATCATTCCACTGGAATTTCTTCCGGGGTCCCATTATCCTCCTGCCCCCCTTTTCCTCATCTTCTTCCTCCTCAGAACAAATCCGCTCTCTTTGCTCCTTGTCTTTCTCCTCTTCCAGCATCCTACAGGATGAACAGAATTAAAAGGGACCCTAAGGACCTCCTGTCACCACCTGCCCACCTCCTTGCAGGACGGGGACTTCTCAGATAAGGGGAAACACTCAAGAGAGTCCTTTGGAAATGGAGTAAACACCAAGAAAAATGGCAAGAAGGGGCAGGAGGGTCACACCATATGTGAGCGCTGGGCCATACTTACTTAGCAACCTTGGCCTGCGTGTGAGCCTGGCATTCATCCTGGTACTTGGCCATCTGTTCTGGCATCGCCCTGCCAATGGCTTCCTTGAGCTTCTGGAGAGGCTCCTTCAGACGCCCCCCCTGCAGAGAGTAGGACACAAGACAAGACTGGATCACACATCACTCTTACTAGGGACACACAATGGGGAAACTGAAGGCAGTGCAGCAGCAGATGCAGCCTTTGTGAAGACTCGGTCACCCCTCAACTGGGCCCCAAAGCCACAGGGTTCCACTCCAAAGTCACCCACCTGGTCGTAGTGGTGAAGTTTTCGAGCACGTTTGACCAGAGCATCCTTGCTGCAGGGCAGGAATGAGGCGAGATAGGCATAGACCCCAGAACGGATTTGGCTACTCAGCTCCCGAGCCTGCACTTCTATGCTGCAGAACAGAACAGAGTCATCTATGGCTGCGGCTTCTCTCCCCATGAGCTCACCCGATGTGGAGAGCACAGCCAGGAGCCAAAAGCAGGCCAAACCTTATCTTACTGGCCACACAATATAGCTGAGCGGCCAAGACAACAGATCTTTAACAATCAGCAAACAACAACTCCCAAACCTGATGCACTTCAACCAGGTAAAGTGGGTCCAGGCTCTCCAGTCAAAGACAAGGCCAAGTCAAGGGTAGTCATGGAAACAGGGCCCAAGAGAACAAGCTTTAAAGCACTAAATTTCATAAACAAAACATAAAAGCTTTCAAAGTGGAAAGTAACAAGTTACTTGGAGGTAAGAGGAAATACTTTCTGGCAGCATTTCTTTTTTCTTCTACTTCCTAGTTCTTTTTTTCATTGTTGTTCTGGTTCCTAGTTCTACCTACTACCATGAGGTCAGGGAAATCCTCACCCCTCCAGTTTCCTCATCTAAATAAGCAAAAAAAAAAAAAATTCTCCCCAATGCCTTGAGCTTTCCATATTTGGCATGGAAAGGCTGACACAGACCTCTCGCCCACATGGGTGCCCAGGTACTCTGTAGTTCTCCCTCCCAGCACTCTTCCTGACCCAGTTCAGATCCCGCCCAGGCAAGGCCGTTTGCTAGGACACACTCATGTCTTGACAACTTGTTCTTATATATGCAAAGTCCTCTCTTGTTAAGCAACAAGCTTCCCTTGCTACATGGCACAACCCAGAGGAGCTGTAAACGTTGAGGGGCCAGACACAAGGCTCAGATCTTCCTGGTTTGGATGTAGGCATTTGCTTTTTTATCCAACTCACACAGCAGTGTCTCAGAGTCTTGGTGGTCTAGCAGAAGTGCCATGGCCGAGGTACATGAGCACTAGAAGGAGTAAGCACAAGAGGATGACGACCAGGGACACTGAGGAGCACGCACCTCAATGAGGAGAGCAGGCCCCCGAGGCCACCAAATTGTCTCTCATTCTTCTGGATTCTCAGAGACAGGCAGGCAACACTCTCTCTCTCTCTTCTCATTTCATACATGCCAAGAAATCCTCTTCCAACAGGCCATGACTATCATATATAGTGTTCTAATAATGCCTGCTGCCTAAGATTAGGAAGGTCTATCATTTCTGGGGACAAATATTTAGCATCCCTGTTTGTTTTGTTTTTAAGAGACACACAAGAGTAAAGCCACATTAATCCAATTCTTCTTTTATCTAATTGGTGGTCACCTTTATGGAGTTCAATTGTACTCCTGTTCTCCCCTGGCTGGCTCCCCCCGGGCAGAGTAAAAGCAGATACAAACAAACCAACAATACTCACTCTAATAGGATTCCATTAACATCCTGGGTGAAGAACTTCTGTCTGCTCTCTCCCTCGGCAGCTCTGGCAGCCTGGTTCACAGCAGACAGTAACAGCTGTTAGTGCACTTTCCCCACACAGCCCTCACGCTCACCCACAGGCACAAGAGCCGTTACTCCGTGAAGAGCACCTGTCAATAAAATCCTCACGACCACCTTTCCCACTCTGCCCTAATCCCAGATTAAGTTCACCTGTGATCAGTATGCTCTTTTCAAATGCTGCTACATCTGTGGTCTATCCTTCCCAGGACTTAAAACAGCATTTACATAAAAGAAAATCACACGCAAATGTGATGCAGTTGGTCAGAGGCCAATCCAGCCAGCCACCTAACTCCTGTGCCCACATTCTATCATAAACTGCACCATGATTGGGATTTCCACACACTTACACTAGGAAAACAATCAAGAACTTTTACCCAGACATTGGAATAACACACCATACTACCTATTAACACAAGTCTATAGGAGTTTAATACATAGTCTTCTTTTGCTTTCCATGAGAACACAACACCCTGGAGAGCAAGCTTACAGACTCCTGCAGCAGCCAAGACACGGAGACAAGTCTGAAAAGCAAACCCTGAGAGTCTACACCAGTGGTTCTCATACTTGGCTGCACCCTGGAGTTACATGGGCAGCTTTGCCTATCCCAGACCTATCATATCACAATCTCTGGGGACGAGGGCAGGAACGTGCACTCTCTACATGTGGCCCAAGCACCAGTACTTCTTTGAAGTAACCCTGGTGAGGCTGATGTGCAGAGAGGGCTGGGAACCACTGATCTCAACCCAAGAGCTGCTGGTCTGAAGGCTTTAGGTGAAATAAAATTTTTGAAATCAGACTTGATGTATAATAATGACAGCAAACAAAGGTGACAAGGTGATTAGAACAAAGGGCTAAATCTTGATCAACCCCTCTGCAACCTGATGGAGGTTACAGACTGCTAACCTCCATCAACCCCTACTTGCCTTCCTCTCCTTGCATCCTCTGGGGTCCCTTTCAACCTCTCTGACTGCTCCACCTAAGCTCTCGACCAGAACTTACAATCATCTCTAAGTAATTTCCAGTCACAGTCACCCCTTGGTATACTCACGGGATTGGTGCTAGGACCCCTACGTATACCAGAATCTGAGCATACTCGAGTCCCACAGTGGCTGCTGCAGAATCCAAGTATACAAAAAGTCAGTCCTCCAGATCTGTGGTGCCCAACCCACTGCGCCCCTCCAACCTCTCCCCCATCTGTGGAAAAACTGTCTTCCATGAAACTTAGGAACTGGGGGGCCGCACAGCAGGAGGTGAGCAGCTGCAAGTAAAGATATTTACAGCCACTCCCCACTGCCTGCATCACAGCCTGAGCTCCGCCACCCCCCACTCACACCAGGTTCCATGGAAAAATTGTCTTCCATGAAACCGGTCCCTGGTACCAAAATGGTTGGGGACCACTGCTCCAGATTATGCCAAATCTGCGTATAAGTGGACCCATGGAGTTCAAACCCTTGTTGTCCAAGGGTCAGCTGTACTTCTGTGAATGGATGAACCCCTAGTACGCAAACTCAGCCTAAACCTCTCCCTCCTATGTTCTCCAATTCTAAAAATCACACTCCAACCTCCTTAAATCCATCCACTCCCTTCTTTAGAACCCATCAGTGGCTCTTTCCAGGCCTAGAATCAAACCCAAACTCTTTCACGTGGTTTTAAGGGTCCTTCTAGGATCTGGCCCAGCCATCCACCAACTCACCCACCCTCAGCTCTGCTACCTGCCTTGTTGTGAGGCCATCTTTCCCAGGGGGCTGGCCAAGCCTGCTGCCTCCAGGCCAATTCTTACAGGCTCCCAGAGAGCTTCTTTTACCTCAAGTCTGGCTGTCCACCTGACCATCCACTTAGCTCTCCAAACATCACAGAGCTTATATCATTCTGCTTTGTCCTACCGTCTGCTGTTTCCATCTCTGCTGGTCCACTTCCATAACAAACTCACGAGGACAAGAACTGAATCTCATTCATCGATATTATTTCCCCAGCTGCCTATCACATGACAGATACTTAGTAAATGCTGAATGAATGAATGGATGAATGGACAAATAAATCAACAGCACTATAAGGCGGCACACCAGAAGAAGAAAAGCTTAATACCAAACAAACAAAAATAACTTGGAGAAGATGCAGAACTCAAGCGTCCAAGATCCTCTCGCTAAAGGACAGCCTGAGATGAAAGGGATGAAGTGGACAGATGGATAATGGAAGAAAGAAAGGGAATGACTTTTAATCCATTCATGGGACAATTTCTTACACTTTCAGAAGCATTCAGAATTCTACCGTGGCACTTGGAAGGTACTGGAATTATATTAGTCTGACAGAAAACAAAATGGAGTCATTATTTTGCTTACACTTATACGGATGGTTATAAGATCCAGAAGCACCTTCATATTGATTCAATCTAATTTTTCTTTTTTTTTTTTTATTTTTTAGAAGATCTCACTTTGTGCTTAGGCTAGATGAGTGCCATGGCATCAGCTAACGCAAAAGCCAAACCTGGCTCAAGGCGACCTCCTGCTTCAGTCTCTGAGTAGCCGGACTACAGCATCACTCTACCTGCCAGCTACATTTTCTATATATATGGTTGCAATAATCTTTATATAGTAGAGAGGGGCTCCGCTCGTCGCTCAGCCTGCGTTCGAACCCTGATCTAAGCAACCGCCACTTCTGCCTCCCAGATGCAGGATTCCACAGGCTGAGCCACCGCGCTGTCTTATCTAAGTTATCTTTTAACATGTATATTCAAGCCCCATTGTTTGTCGGACCCATGCACAGCGCAAGTTCCAACATCAAATTTTTATTTTGATATCTTCTTCTCCAAATAGTCTCAGAAGCTTCTACTATACGACATGCTTCAAAAAGATTTTCTGAAGCCTCTTGAATGCATGACAAGATCTCGAGGCTCGCTTTTCATACTGAACAATTAGTGTTACTAATCTTTAATACCCTAATTACAAACAATGATCTACATATCGTGAATACTCTCCAAAAACGTGAGGTCCTCACCATAGAAGAGACACCTTGTTCAGAGGGTTATACAATATCACCTCAAATAAATATAGAATGTAAGTCAAACACCCCAATCATGCTGAGTTTATAATATTCAACACCTTTTATGACTGTTTATATAAGAAAAAGGAGCTTATTATGCCTATTAGCACTAGCATAAAATGGTATATATGGTACCTGTTTTGCTGAATAGAAATGAATCTGACATGACTATTGTTTTTTAAAAAAAGATCAAAAAGTTGTTGCTTTTCCTACCATCATTCTCTTGGATACACCCTCCTGCATTTCGCCGATGTATGACGTTCTAACTATACAGAAGGCAGAGTAGAGAGAGGGGCATAGGGTATCTGCTTTTCCTTTCTTTCTTAGTACTGTCCCGTTTTATGCCTGACTGAGAAGACAAAATAGGCCTGGTGTCATCGTACAGCCCAGGCTGAGTAGCTGCCAGACTACAGTAAGATAATGCCCCGAGAGGCACTGAACTAGAGCTTCCCAGCATCCGTACTTCTAACAACTAAGACAAATGATGCAATCAATGCACGTTAACAGAAGACAGGGTAAACATCAAATTGCTGGATTCCTGGGGCCCATAAATGTATAGTAAAATGAGTAAGAATGAAAACGGGCTAACAGGAGAAGAAAACAGTAAACATAGGCCGAGGGCGGTGGCTCACGCCCGTAATCCTAGCACTCTGGGAGGCCAAGGGGGGGGGGGATCACTCAAGGTCAGGAGTTCGAAACCAGCTTGAGCAAGAGCAAGACCCCATCTCTACGAAAAAAGAACAGAAAAAAGAAAGAAAGAAGAAAGAAGAAGAGAGGAGGAGGGGAGAGGGAGGAGAGGGAGGAGGGAGGAAGGAGGAAGGAAGGAAGAAGGAAGGAGAGGGAGGAGGGAGGGAGGGAAGGGAGAGAGGAGGGAGGGAGGAGGAGGAGGAAGGAAGGAGAAGAAAAAGGGAGGAAGGGCAGGAGGAGAAGAGGAGAAGAGAAGAGAGAGAGAGAGAAAGAAAAGAAAGAAAAGAAAGAAAAGAAAAGAAAAGAAAAGAAAAGAAAGAAAGAAAGAAAGAAAGAAAGAAAGAAAGAAAGAAAGAAAGAAAGAAAGAAAGAAAGAAATGGGCCACCTAAAAATATACCAAAAAAACAAAACAAACAAACAAACAAAAACAGTAAACATAGCATGGGCATCCACCAAGGCATCCCTCTTGGAGGACCTCTTTGACATGAGTAAGTTTTCAAAGATATTTTCTTAAAGTTTGGTAGACTGCAAAATAGGACCATAGTTCCTCTGTGGAGAAATTGCTCCAACCCAGAGAAATACACTCTAGCTCCCCAACCCTTGGATCTGAGCTGCTCCTGTGACTTGCTTTGACCAAGAGTGCTGTAAAGTTACGGGACACACACAACCTCTAAGGCTAGATCTCAAGGGCCCTGTGGCTTCCACCTTTACCCTTCTTGAGATGCTGCTGAGACTGCCATGCCCTGAAGAAGGCCAGGATGACAGACCAGAAAGATGCCCTGCCAGGATCCAGCCAAGCTGCCAGCTGAATGCAGCCACGTAAGAGTGAGCCCGGACAGGATCAGGATAGGATCCACCCAGCCAACCCAGGGAGGAGAAATGAATATTGAGTCAAAGCACCTGGCCCTATTATACCTATTAATGTGATATATTAATATGTATCACATATTAATACATGTAATAAATACATGTATTATATCTAAGGCCAAGATTTAAAATCTAACCAATGTTACTATGAAAATAAAGGAAATAAGAGAAAAACAGAAAAAGAAGGGGAGTAAAAAATAAAGTGAGAAGCACATAACACTGTCAATGTTACAGTTAAATACATAAAGTTTAATTTAAATTTTAAAAACACAATGTCCCTTTTAAGATCTAGGATAGGGCTCCTTACTAAGGATCCAAATATCCAGGTGTGGCTTTTGGAATTATATGCAATTCTTATGTACAAATGCATTCTTTCCCTGGGAAGACTATCTTTCCCAGCAGATTCTCAACAGGATCTGGGGATCCAGAGCACTCATGCACACATGCAGGAGGGCTGCGAGGGCTCCAAGTGCAAGGTGCCCTGGTTGCAACAGAGTACCTAGGGACCCTCTGGGAGAGCATTAAGTAAATTTCTAGAATAAGCCTCCTTTATATTGCAACCATTAAAAGTGATGAGGGCTTTATAATAGTATTAAGTGAAAAAAGCAGGAAACAATTATTCACAACTATAATTACAACTGCATAAAAACATATACACAGAGGCTAGAAAGGAATATGCAAATTGAGATTGTTTTTAGACGTCAGATAATAAATCCCATACACTTTCCACCCCATTTTCCAAACTTTCTTAGTGCTATTATAGGAGAAGGGCAAGGTGAAGACTTAAGTATCAACTTAATACTTGAACATTGTATTTTCAAACCAGAACAGCAGCCTCTCCTGGTCAATCCCCACCAGGACCCAGGCCCACCTTGTCTGTGGGATCCAGAACTCTGCCATTGTCATGCCCAAGAGCTGATACTTGGCAACCACTGAGGAGGGACAACTTGCCAAACAAGGCAATCCAGTGCGGCTTTCTTGCACCACAGCCTAGCACTGTTTCTGGTTATACCATTTCAGTGCCACTAAATTTGCCCGTATCTTTTCCAAGAAAGTGAAACAGTATGTAATCAGACAAAAACACAAGCTATGGTGGGACTTATTCTTAGAGCAAATATAGGAGAGTAGGCTCAAACATGCCAAGTTCAGAGTCAACTCCTTCCACCTCAATGTCATATCAAGATATACTCTGATTCCCTGACATGGCACAATTCATTTAAATCATTACATTCAAATAGAATACTTGTATGTCCAACACTGTGCACAAGCTAACAAAGATAAACTAGGAAATTGAATAAGATGTTTTATTTGCTTTGTATATTGTGTTCAAATATTTTTTGGAAGTGAGAAAATCATTTGTAGCAGTGGCTGACACTTTACCCTACTCTAAAACACAAGGGATATTATATATAACAGTGATTCTGAAATTCTATGAGAATCACTGGTTGAAATCTTACAACTATAAAGTACAAAAGCCACTGGAGCTACATTACAAGTCATGATGCCTAAAGTAAAATGTTATTTTAACTGAAAGGTGAATGTCATCACAACTAATGACTCACGTGTGGCTTATAGTTATAAATACAGCATTCGAAGTCAAGGTCCTTTTCATTTATCACAATTTAGGCATTCCTGTAACGACTGCCTAACACTGATGACACACAATGCAAGGGTGGCGATAAAGTATATACTGCGTGTGTAACTCACATGTTTGCAAACTTTTGTGAATTTTCAAAACCTTAAAAAGAATACCAAGAAAATGAATCTCTGACTCAATCGCCTACTGCCAACATCAGTGTCAGTCTAGCACACAAAAGATACTATGTAGAAAATAAAACCGCCAGGCAAAAAAACAGAAAAATCTCCCTAGAAGAAAGTAAATTTTCCAGAAGTGAAGAAGTCAAGAAAGGCCTAAAAATGATGCCCGACAGACACAGCTTACACTGCTTCCTCGCTCAGGATGAGCAGAGAGCTTGGAAAAAGCTTACACGTTAACGGCCAACTCACTACAGATTTCACACAGTGCAGAACCAACGTCAATCTGCCCGAACCGCTTCCCGGAAAGCCCAGCCACACCGTGTCACCATACCTGAGCCAGTTCCTTAACACGCTTCTCCAGGGGTGCTGGCAGGCCTTCGGGGAGAGAAGAGGGCTGCCTGAATTCCTGGTCCAATCCCGCCCCAAGGGAATCGCTTCCATCATCCATGTTACGGTAGGGGCTGCCTTCTGGAGACTCACTGAGCAGCTGCTCCAAGTCCAAATCAGTCAGCGAGTCCACGGCAGTGGCCGCCTGGAAGATATCGTTGTCAGAAGCGGAGCCAAAGAGCGAGAGCAAGGGGTCGGAGGTGCCCTCCAATTCCTGCAAGCCCTGAGCTTCCACAGACGAGACCGCTATAGGCTTATGCTCCTCCACCCTTTTCTTCTGAGCCTCTTTCTCCTTCTGAAATTTCTTTACCATCTCTTTAATGCATAAAGTCCCAGAATACTTCTTTTTCTTCTTCTCTTTACTGGCATTGAGGGCTGTGAAGCTGCAAGCAAGAGGGAAACTGGTTACTCAAGCTGCAGGACACCTCCAAAGGGAAACTGTCCCAGGGCAATGGTCTCTTGGAGAGCCTCAGTCACAGTCCACCCTGTTATCACTCCTCCCTCCTCTTGGCATATGGAGCTCGTTCTTGCTGAGACCAAAGCTTGAGAGTTAATTCAGGTTAGCAACACAGTGTCACATAATGCTAAATTTCCGATGGCTTTTTAGAAACCACTGCCAGGCTGAAAAAAAGGTTGCAAGGGGTGGGGGAGAGGGGAGCAAGAAAAGTATTTAAAGGGAGAAAGCAGGAGCAGCAGACAACAGCAGCAACTTGAAGAGCAGCTGGGGTGAGACCAAGAGAGGAGAAGGAAGCATGACCACAGAAGACAAAGGAAACGGCAGAGACAGAAGGAGAACTGGGACAGGGAGAGGAGTGCCCAAGAGAACGAGAAACATCAGCAGTCACACAGTGACAGAAATAGCTGCCAACACTGACAGTGGAACTATCTGACACACAGAGAGGTGAGCGTCTATGCCCGGAATGGCACTGCGGGAGGTGTGAGGAGCACAGGAAGGCCAGGCCTGCTGCCTCTTTTGAAGCTGTGGGGAGGAGGTGAGTCAGCTCCCAGGTGTCCTGCCCTAACAGTTCAGACTTTATCCTAGCAAAGAAGCTGCTGCCTCTCACCCGGCTTTGGAAAACTTGGACTTTTTCGATTTCTTCTCCTTGTCATAAGTGTCATCTTTTTTCTTCTTCTTTATCTTCTCACCACCTTCCTTCAACTTCCGCTTCTGAGAATTAAAGACAAGGCACAGTTACACGGCTCCCTAACTCAGGGAGCAAGTGCACTACACAGCACTGGCCTTGCTCCGCCCAGGGCACCTCCTGAGACCTCTCTTACCTCTTTTATGAACAAAAGCTCTCAGAGATCAGTCCCTGGACCACACACCCACAGCATTCCCACTGATAGTGTCTCCTAGAAACACTGAGACAACAGTGGCCATCCTGAAGCCTGAAACCTTTCCAGTTTGAAATAAGCTACATGTAGGCCCTATCTCTTGTTTTAAACACACAGGCAGAGGTAGACAGATTGTAAAACATACTCATCTTAAGGCTGACTTGTTTTCAGAGGGATGACAGCCCTGGGAACTGAAGTCCTCTACATGTCCACAGAAGAGGTCCAGCAAGGGTGGTGCATATTCCCTCACTCCACACCCTTCACTGCTCTCGCCCCACCCTGTGACCACCTAGAGAAACAACCCCTGCTGAGCCTGCTGGGGTGTCACATGACGTGGACACCACGACCAAGAGCTGAACAGAGCCCTCAAGTTCACATCTCCTCGTTACAGCACACGTGGTGCCTTTCCACCAGCCTCCTGAGCCACATCCTAAACCGTCGCATATTCTGGCGAGTCACCTACTGATCTGATAGGGTCACAGCAAAAAGCATTTCTGAAATCCAAAAGCGAGCACGTTCTAACCTTTGGAGATTTTTTCTTCTTTTCTTTAATGAAGTCATCTTCAGATTCTGATGCTTGTCTAAACTGCAGGGTTCCCGAGTTAATGTAAAATCCTCCATACTTTGTAGTCAAAGAAGCAGGAACAAGCTCATCATACTGAAGGAGGGGAAACAAACTGTCAGTTCCAAGTTCTGGTTATATATAGTCCAAAGGTACAAAGCAGGTCTCAAGAGAGATGTGACTATGTTTCTTTATCATACTTCCAACAGCATGCTAAGCCATCCTTCTGGTCAATCATGAAATGTCCAAGCTACAAGTGTTTTGGACAGATCTGGTTATCATTTTCAGATGAGGAAACTAAAGGCCCGGATCAAGAATGTCACTTCCTCTCTCATCAGTGCTGCTACTGCCTCATGCTAGGAAGAGGGCAAGCCCACTCCGACCCCACCAACTTCCAGCCCATCAAAAATAGGAGCTACAGAGGTGGTTGTGATAGCGTGCATTTTCATTAACTACTTACCGCCTCAGAGTTATCGATGAAGGAATCAGATTCATCATAACCATACCCCATATCAATCAAGTCCTGTATTCGGTCTTTTCTACGTTTCTTTCCACCCTAAAATTTAAAAGCAACAGAACATAGCTTTTTGATAAATACACAGAATTGTTGCCTTGAACTTCATCAGCTAGTGATTAAACCCTATAACACACCGCAACAGTCTCTCTCACACTGTCCCTCCAAATACTCCTTCCCTAAAGACCTTTCAACATAGCACAGATGTTATCTGCATAAAATGGTCTCTCATGCTTCATACCTACACATTCTCTCCAAGGCAGGTAACAGGCCCTTCTTGTTCATTTGCTCAGCACCACACACAGCTCTACCACATGCCTTTTCTGTACCTCAATGCATTTGTTTAACAGCTACATTCTGTTCTAAGCTCTACACTTATTTCCAGGTAAGTGGTGATTACATGATATTCTACTAAAGGAACATGGAAATGTCTAAAAACCTCTCCCACCCAATGAGGTTCTTTTGTTGCCCAAGAGAGAAATCTTACATATTTTTCTTCAAATTTCCGGGCAAGGGCTTCCACTTTATGCCTTTCTTTTTCTTCGTCATTGAAAGGATCTGAGAGATCTTTCTTCTGTAAAGAAACCATTACACAAAAAATAAATCACAAAATAGTCCCGCATTCCTATTCATAGAACATTTGCTGAGTACTCAACACGTATAAACTGCATAATAGAAACTGTTTTTCAGGCCAGGCACAATGGTTCACACATTCTGGGAGGCCGAGGCAGGAGGATCGCTTTAGGTCAGGAGTTCGAGACCAGCCTAAGCATGAGTGAGATCCCGTCTCCACTAAAAAGAGAGAAAATTAGCCAGACAACTGAAAATAGAAAAAAATTAGCTGGGTGTGGTGGTGCACACCTGTAGCCCCAGCTACTCAGGAGGCTGAGGCAAGATGATCACTTGAGCCCAGGAGTTTGAGGTTGCTGAGAGCTAGGCTGATGCCATGGTACTCTAGCCTGGACAATAGAGCGAGACTGTCCAAAAAAAAAAAACAAAAACCCAGCTGTTTTTCAGAAAAAGGTAGGATACATGCTTACATCTAATCAGTGTCTATCTTAATTATTAAAAAAAGTAAAAGTTCCACTCATGTAATTCAGCAAAACTTGATTCAATGCCTACAAACCCCCACCACAGCACAAGGGACTGTAAGGCTTCAAACACAGCAAAGAGCCGTTAGTCAGGGGTGCTCAACCTCTACACAGCTGTGATCAGTATAGCTTTCCTTTGGAACCCTAAAATTTACTTTATGCATTTAAAAACATTCTAAGGCCAGGCGAGGTGGCTCACACCTGTAATCCTAGCACTCTGGGAGGCCGAGGCAGGAAGATTGCTTGAGCTCAGGAGTTGGAGACCAGCCTGAGCAAGAGCGAGACCCCGTCTCTACTAAAAAAATAGAAAAAATTAGCCAGTCAACTAAAAATGAAACAAAAATTAGCTGGGCATGGTGATGCATGCCTGTAGTCCCAGCTACTTGGAGGCTGAGGCAGGAGGATCACTTGAGCCCAGGAGTTTGAGGTTGAAAATAACAACTGCCAAGAAGCGTTTAATAGACCACAAAGGATTATTTATAACAGACTGTAGAGCTGGCTAATCCTGTTTGCTGCCAGAGGCGCAGAGGACGAGGCTGGTTTATGAAGCTGCTAAGGCTGTAAAGCCTCCTGACGGCTGGGTGGAGGATGGAGCCCTGCTTTGTGCTTCTGTCTTCATATCTGGCAGAAGGAACGATGTCACTGGAGGAGGAAGCCTTTGCTCTGAGCATATGAAAAAGAGCTGGGCGTATTTCTGCTGCTGACCGCTGCATGAACAGACTTTGACTGGGGCAAGGCAGGAGCTCCACCATGGGGTCCGTGAGACGTTCCGCAAACCATGTCTTTGCTTTGGACTGGTGCACTCTGTCAAGCCACTTTGTTGAGGGGACCTGGCAGGCACTCTTGTAGCCAGAATCTCTGGTTTTTCCTGAGAGAACTGCCAGTGCCAAGCCTGTTCAGCAGAAATTTAGGTGACTGCAGAGAGCTAAGCGGTGGGGGAGCAGAAGGGCTGGCTGCAAAGTTCCTTTTCCTTCTGCACATAAACACCTGCAACTTTTTCTGCAGGTGCTTTTGAGGGCATGCAGTGGAATTCAGAAGCTCCCAGTTTGCTCTGCTTGTTCATGCAGCCAGTTCCTTGGACACGCTTCCACAGAAGAGGCGGATTGGCGATCAAGTCTTCATCCAACTAGTCTCCACGGCTGACAGGGCAGTTTAGCAAGGTTGTCTGACACCTGGGATGGGACTCCTGCTCGAACCCAATGTTCGCCTCCTCCCTGTGTTCTGAGGGCAATGCAATGGGGCGCTAATCTGTCCTGACTGGACAGAACCTTTTTATCACTAGTAATGAATTCCTAAGGAAAAGAAATGCTGAAGTTTAAGAAGCCAGTGCCTGTTGTGGGACAGTAAACACAAAAACAACTTTGAGGGTGCAACAACTGCCCTCCTGTGTAATTACAAAAGGGGTAGCCAAGAGCAAAGAGCCATGCCGCCTGACTGGAAATGCTGCAACTTACAGCTCCTCTGGTGAATGCCGGACTTGAGTTTTAATACCCTCCAGCAAATTTGTTCTCAGTACAAATACACTCCAGGGGAACTTTCTCTCTGTTTCTGAAAAACATAAACTCATCAAAGAACACACCTGCCTTCCTTGGCCATTCCACTATCTCGAGTAGCCTAGCTGCAATTAACTGCATAGGCATGAGAGTTGCCTTAAATACCTATTTTGTCGTAACTCGTTTTACCACTTCTCCAACAGTTCTTTCCCGGAAGCAGAGAAGAGTCTAAATGCATCCTGCATACCTGGGCTTAATGCAGTGGGTCTGAGACATTAGGAGCTCAACAGAATACACAGGAATAAATGATTTGCACATCTCATTCCACTTCTCCTTTAGGGTATGTTAAGGCACCACACCAAGCCTCAAGAACAGTAAAAATGGCTAGGCATGGTGGCTCACGCCTGTAACTAGCACTTTGGGAGGCCGAGGAGGGAGATCACTTAAGCCCAGGAGTCAGAACCAGCCAGGAACATAGCATATACCCTGTTCCTCTACAAAAATAAAACGAAATTAGCCGGCATGTGGCACATGTCTGTAGCCAGCCTACTCAGAGTTGACCGAGCCAGAGGATTGCTTGAGCTGGGAGTTGGAGGTGCAGTGAGCGATATGATCACGCTACTGCATCCAGTAGGCATCAGAGCAGAACTGTCTTAAAACAACAACACAAAAAAGAACCGGTAAAATTTTAGTAAAAGCATTTTCACTACATTGAGGAGGTTCCTGCAACATCAAAATAGTTTTCCAGTTCTATTCTCCCAACCACCATCACTGTACCGCCTCTCTGTTTCTGCCAGCTTAACTAACAAAGCCACCTTTCCTTTGCCCCTGTTCTCTAAGGCAAACTGGAATGGCAGAGTGTTTTTCTTTCCCCAAATTTTTTGGGGAAAAAAAAAAAGGAAACTACCGTCGTAGTCCGTAACCTCGCCAACTACAAGGGGCTCTCCCTCCTCAGCTTGACTGCCAAGAAGACCCATCAATCCACAACACCCCCGATTGGCCCAGGTTGGGGTATTGTTTAGCTATAACTTGGAAGCTAGGGGGTAAGAGGCCCAGCTCTGTCTCTGCCTGGTATAATTTAATATGGCTATCCTGAATATGCTGTCCTCCCAGACAGCTAATTTTCATTGACTGCCATGGGTCACTCAAGAGGGTTTTTGAGTTGGCTGCAAGGAGATGAGGACAGCTGACACATAACCTGACAGCACTCACCTTCACCTTGATTTTAGAAGGGGCCATTATTCTTCTTGTGTTCAAAGGAATGACCAACAAAAGAGGTTTTAGAGGGTATCCACAGAAAGAAGATCAAAAATAAACAGTACCCTGAGAAGTCACAACACCGCAACACTCACATGGATGTCAGGTCCGTGAATGTTTGCTCTCCTTTAACAGAATACTAAAGACACAGAACACTGCCTTGTACATGCTTAAACTGCAGTTTTTTTTCTATGCTTCCAGAGCTGTGTCCAAACAATCCCATGTATCAGTGCTATTACCTCCTTGAATGTCAGTGGACTGGTGAGGATTGTGAAAGACTTAAAGTGCAACACCAGCACCTGAAAAGCAAGAGTCCTGGGCTTTACCCAGAAAGAACACTATGGCTCTGCCAGACTTCTCATGCGTGTTTCTTTCTAAGCCAAGCCTTCTACTGCCTACTCATCCTTCAAGTAAATATGCAGTGACCCACAGTGTTTTCTTTTCAGAGACACCAACAAAAATTCTTCACTGCAAGGTAGCAATTCCAAGTCCAACATTTAAACAGATGAATCAGGCCAGTCAAGAGCACTAGCTCCCAGCTAATTCCTTGTTTTTCATCCCAAGACCGTCACTCCAGGAGCAGCATCAACAAAGGACTCTGAGGCTGGCACTTAGCACAGAGCAGTCCTGCTACTGCAAATAGACTTCTTCATGGTCACGTAAGAAAGTACCAACGATGCAATCCATTTCTCACCTTCTAGAAAGCCCATTATTTTCAAATAGACAAGTACATATTTATATGAAGATGCAGCAATCCTGAACTGAGTGGGACCAAAAAATAAAAGACAAACACATACCTTCCTTCTTTAGGAAATAAGAGCTTTCTGCTACTATATGTCCCCATTACTCTGGTGAGATAAGAGTTGACAACGAGTACGTGGCCAGGCACAAAGCAGCGCTCAATATTCTCGACCGCACAATGCCATCTCACACCACCCTCACCCTGGTCTCATCCAGCCTTGGGGCCAGAGAGCTGACCGCGTCCAAGAAGGCTTAACATCCTCCCAGGACTGGCTTGTTTTCCTCCCAGGTCATGGTCTCCAGCTTGGTCTTCACACCTGCACAGCAGTCCTGAGGGTTAATCTTCAAACCGTCCCAAATGTTCTGCAAGGTTTCCATGTCTTCAGCAGCTGATGAAAGAATACAATCCTAATCAACAGCAAGACAGGGACATGCTCAGACACTGCCCCAACAACCCTCCATGGAAGAGACAGTCACTATGGCCACACTGATTTCATCATTCCCACAAAACCTATGGTATCTCCGAAAGTCCATTAATCACTCCTGCCTTTTCCATCATCTTCTTCTCTCAGAAAATGCTCCTCTTTGCTCCTTGTCTTTCTCCTCCTTCCAGCATCCTAACAGGAATGAACAGAATTAAAAGGGACCTAGTCTGTCCATGCCACCTCCTTCAGGACGGGTCTCGATAAGGGAAACACTCAAGAAGTTTTGAAATGGAGTAAACACCAGAAATGGCAGAAGGGCCAGGAGGTCACCACACCATGTGAGCGTGGGCCATACTACTAGCAACTTTTCCTGCGTGTGGCCTGGCATTCTCTGTATTTGCCATCTGTTTCTGGCATCGCCCGCCAATGTTCCTTGAGTTCTGGAGAGGCTCCTTCAGAGCCCCCCTGCAGAGAGCAGGACACAAACAGACTGTATCAGCACATCACTCTACTAGGGACACACATGGGAAACTGAAGGCAGTGCCAGCAGATCAGCCTTTGTGAAAC